AATCTCGAAGTAAGATGCAGCGAAGCGATGGTCAGTTCGAGGAGTGTGGGAGGGGGGAGGAGGTCCTCCCCCTCGCAGAGATGGAGCAGCGCTAGATCTAGGGTTTGGTTATTTGGGAGAGCGGCGCTGTGGATTTGAGTTTAGTCCTTATGGTTTTCAAGACTCTCTCTCTCTACTTTTGTCCTCCTGAAAATGCTCTTCTTATTTTGGCTATCCTCAACTTCAATTCTAAAAACCACGTTTGGTATCCTACTCCCGTTTCGTATCCTACTTAAAAACTATAATTACTTTTAAAAACACGAGTTTTCAAATATTGATTTTAATATTTAAAAACTTATTTAGTATTGAACTCCAAATTATTTTTAAAAATTAAAAATTAAAAAAAAAATCAGAAACTCTAGATTCCCAAATTGAAATCTACTAAATTTGCATAAATTTTGGGGTTTTCAAAACAAAGTTATGGTGTTCAAGCCTAGTTTTGCCTCCGAAAAATTATGTTTCATTATACAAAATTATAGGTGTTTTAAGATTTGTGGATTGGTAAACTATTACAAAAGGATGTTTCCATAAAATACTTCAAATCGATTCAAATAACATTTATGGGTTTTAGTCACATACGTGCATGGTTTTTCAACATTGATTCATACAATTTCTAAATTTTCAAGATCAAAATTTAACAAAACTTTGAAGGCTAATCACTCTTACTTATCAAATGAGCATGAAGTTTAGAAAAATAGATTTAGAACTCCAAAAAATGTTCGTAAAAAACCGAAACTAATTTTTTTAAGTAGAAAAAGACAAATAATTATTTTGAACTTTTCAAATAAGAAGGAACGCTTAAAACTAAACTAAAATACTCAACACATTTTATAATTTAAATAGATTCTTAACATCCCAAATAATAATTCTTTATGTATAAAGCTTTGATCCATGATCAAGCAAGAGCCTAAAAGGGTAAAGCCTTCAATCTGATCCGTATATCAGAAGTCTAGAATGTTCCAGAAATCTCTCGATTGCATTTGTTTTTCCCTCATAAATTAATGAGTAAATGAAGAAAAGAAAATTACTAAAGGTGAACTTGCAAGAGCAGGTCGACAAGATTCCTTCAAGAGGCCATAACACAAATAAATGTTAATATATAAAAAAACGCTGTAAAAGACCGGATGGGACCCACTGGTGTGATAGATTGCAACACAAAACAAAGTCTTGGTGCCACATTGCCAAAATAAATTTGCTAAAATTATTCTTTATGAATAAAGCTTTGATCCTTGAGGCCCAAGTTGTCGTTCGCTGCTTGCTACTTTTGGGTGAATAACCCTTTGGTCTCCTCTTTATGAATAACTATTTACTCATCCACTCACTCTCTCTCTCTCTCTCTCTCTCACCCTACTTTTTTCCTTCTGAATTTGAATGCTCTTCTTATTTTGGCTATCCTCAACTTCGGTTCCAAATGGATAATAGGAAATTTAAGTACTCGTTTGGTATCCTATTCAAAAATTATAATTCTTTTTAAAAATATAAGTTTTTAAATATTGATTTTAAGATCTTTAAACTTGTTTAGTATTAAACTCCATACTATTTCTAAGATCTATAAAAAATTAAAAAAAATCAGAAACCATAAATTCCCGAATTGAAATCTACTATAAAGTATTGACCTTAATCCACCTTGACAATGCTTAGCCACAGAAAGAACACCTTCACTTTGATGTCCAGAGAGAGAGAGAGAGAGAGAGAATTGTAAAACCCCATTTTTTAAAGGGCCGTTTTAAAGTTGTTTTGGAGAAGAGCTTTTCAAAAATGGGCTCTACCACATGCGAATTATGGCTTTAGATTCAAAAATTATTTTTGAATTTAAGAAAATGAATCCAAGTAGGATATCAAATGGCCCAAAGGATTCACTCATTTTCTTTTGGATTCTTAGGCATGTCTTAGGAATTATTTAAGATAAAAGTTACTATGGGAAGAGAAGGAACCTTTTAAAATATTTTGAAGTTCTCTTAATGGAGAGAAAACTTAAAAGGCTCTGAAGTTGATCCATACATATTATACTTTAGGAATGTGCCTTGCTTTTTGTACATAAATAATCCATGTCCTTCCTTCTTCTACACGATGTAGTAAAGCAAAGGGAAGAGGAGGATACAAGTCAAAAATTTCTAAAGTATATTATTATTTTTCTCACAAATGGATGAAAAGTTAAAATGCTTATTTATTGATATGCTTTATGTGCTTTGCTTATCATCTCACAATTCAGAGAAACTCTCATGCAAAAAAGCGCTATCCTCGGCCAATAACATAATAATAAGTGAGATACTTTTTTCACCTGTCATTGTGATATTGGTCGGAGATAGCAAAACAGTGTTATATCCATTACAAAAAGGGAAATTTGCATAAATACCACATGAACTTTCAGGCATGTGCGTCATTACTACCTGAACTTTTAATTTTTATTTTTAACCCTTGAACTTTGTAAAGTGTTGCAATCCACCACCTACGTCTAACTCCGTTAAAGTTTCAGTTAAATTTAAGGGTATTTTCGTCAATGAACTATAACTAAAAATAATTATATAAAAAAACAGAATTAAAAATACAAAAAAAATAAATTTAACCTCCTTATCTCTCTCTCTCTTCTCTCTACTCCATCGTCTTTATTCTACCAAATATCATATCAGATTGCAATGGCCCATAGATTTTGTTGCCCTCCTATATTTCCTTTTAAAAAAAACAAAAACAAAAAAATTTATAGCCAAAGCCTTCCTGCATTCATTTCATGGCTTCACTATTTGTTCAAAGGCTTGTCCTTCATTTCAATGGAAGTTTGCATATCAGAAAGAAAAAAAAATTCAGTCTACAATTACTCTCTCTCACCCTCAATCCAGCAAATTCAAAAAATTTAACATCAAAGCTAGAATTAAATTTTGTAACTTCATCATGGGTTTTGGGAAGGAATCAATTGCATTCCTAGTATATATAAATATCCCAAAAAGGTCCTAAACTTAACAGAAATTTTAACGGAGTTAAATGGAGGTGGTGGATTACAACACTTTACAAAGTTCAGGTGATTAAAAATAAAAATTAAAAGTTCAGGTGGTAATGACGCATATATCTGAAAGTTCAGGTGGTATTTATGTAAATTTCCCTCACAAAAAGGTTTTTGAGTGCTGTTAAATATTTTAATATTAATATTAATTTAACTTGAATTTTAAAATTTTTTCAGATAAAACTACTAAAACGTCGATAACACGCCAGCAACTTAATCTTAAAGCCATGTACAGTAGAAGTCCACAAGAGTCAAGACTCCAGAGACCTTGGTCGGGAAGCTCAAGACTTGGTTTGTTGTGATTGGGTGAGTTTGTTTATAAATACAACTTCACTGCTCTGCTGCTTCTTCCCTCAAGACAAAACATTTTGATTATAATCTTATTCCAATTTTCCAAAACAGTTGAATTCAAGGAGAGATGAGCAGCAGTAGCAGCACAACAACAGATGCATGGGTGCTGGACTTGCTGCGTGGGCTCAGATACCATCCCCCTGATGAGGAAATGGTGAACCTTTTGAAGAAGCGGATGGAGGGCTCCCAAGCCCGCCCCATCATCCCAGACATTGATTTCTACAATTACGAGCCTTGGGAATTAGCTGGTAATCCATTAATCTGTCTCACTTTCTCTTCACTGCCCATTTTCTAATTTCCAAGGTATGATGTTTGTTTATGCATAATCTTCATCACTTGTTCTGTTTATACATGATGCTTGTTGATCTATCTCACTTTTTCATCACAACCCATTTTCTCATTTTCAATGTTTGATTTTTGCGTATGCATAATCTAAGATCTTGTTCAGTTGTTCTGTTAGAATCCCTAACCCTAAACCCCAAATCCTAAACCTGATATAATCCTTTTATGTGTCTCAATTTTCTTCACTACCCATTTTCTCATTTCCAATTTAAAATTTCTATCTATACATAATCTTGTTCAGTAATTTAGTTATTCATTACTTCAAGACTTGAAGTGGGTTGGTTTCAAAATCTTGTTTTGTGTTGCATTTTGCAGGACGCATGTTGCCAGACTCTCCATATCAACCTAGGATGTGGTTTTCCTTCAGCCGACATCATCACAAATACGCCAACAGTCCTCGCTGCAATAGGCTCACAGAGAAGGGCTTCTGGAAAATCACAGGAAAGCCACGAGAAATCAAGTCTCGACAACTCTCTGAATCGGTCACTTGCAAAAAGAGGACCTTGACCTTCCATTTAGGTCGTCCGTCTAAGCAGAGCAAGACCGGCTGGGTCAAGCAGGAGTATTATCTCACTTCAACTGCCCCGGGTTCTAATCTGAGTGGCCTTGTTCTTTTCCGCATGAAGAATAAGTCAGCTGACTATAAGTCTGATAATAAGCAGCAGCAGGATGTTGCAATCTATGATGAATCAGCTGATCCTGCTATTGGTGGCGACGTGGCCTCTAATTCTCAAGATGATCAAGCTGCTGCAAATCATAAGATTCTGGAGGCCGAGGCCGAACAACATCTGCTTGGAAGTGGCAATCATAATGATGGTGAACCTGGTGGCTTTGTTTCATCTGATTTTGATATAATGCAAGAGGTGATTATGAATGTGCTTTTTCAACATATCTGATTTAAAATTGTAAATGTGGAGCACAAGAAATATATCAACACTTAACGCTTGCTTGTTTGTGATTCTTAATCTGGCAGTTATGTGCTCAGCTAGGACTTGAGCCGCCTCAGCTGGGAAATGTTCCTGGTACTGGTGACTACCTCGCCTCAAATTCTGATAACCAAGCTGCTGCTATCCATCCTATGACTACAGAAGAAGAAGAACTTCTGGCCTTCAAAGAGCTGGAACGTGTTCTTCTTGGCAGTGGCAATCCTGATAATGGTGAACCTCGTAGCTGTGTTTCATCTGATATGCGTCAAGAGGTGAGACTTTTTGAGCAGTTTCTGATGTGAAATTGTTGATATGGATCACAAGAAGTATATCAAAACTTAACACTCGTTTGCTTTGTGAAATCTGTCAATGGCAGTCATGTGCTCAGCCAGGAGAAGATCTGGATTCACCCGTTCCGCCTCCTGGGCCACCTGAGCTGGGAAATGCTCCTGATGTCTATAATGATTCTTCTCTTCCAAACAAGAATAATATTCCGAACAATTATGACAGCAAACCAATTAGCAACACAGCCTCTGACTTCGAGAATCAAGCTAAAGATGAAAGGATTCCCGAGGTGAGAATCAACATGCTCTTTGAAAGTTTCATATATATACTTCTTAATATGGAGCACAAGAATTACACCCAAACTTAACTCTTGCTTGGAATAATTCTTAATCCAGGTTTATTCTCAATCAGAAGAAAATCTGCAATTGTTCTTTCGTTCACTTGAGGTAGAGAACTACACATTGCCTTCCTCAATATTATACGTGGAACAGGGAGATGTTCTGCATGCCAATAACTATATTGGATGCAATGAGTCGCAATATGCGGCTCTTTTCCCACATAGTTCTTGAGTAACAAAAACATCATAAACTCTTTCCAATGACTACAACCTACCAAAATCATTGGGAAAGGTTTATGATGAAGATGGTGGAGTACAACAGTGACACTAACACTGAGTACTCCATGCAAAGATTATTTGCATTAGCTATATTAGAGAAACACTCCATTATGGTGGAGTACAACAGTGACACTAACACTGAGTACTCCATGCAAAGACTATTTGCATTAGCTATTAGAGAAACACTCCATTATGGTAGAGTACAATAGTGACACTAACACTGAGTACTCCATGCAAAGACTATTTGCATTAGCTATTAGAGAAACACTCCATTATGGTGGAGTACAATAGTGACACAAACACTGAGTACTTCATGTAAGAATGTGTCTCACATTACTACAGAGTGATATTCTCCTACAAATATGTCACAAACGACATAAGTTACTAGTCTGTCACCCACAGCAAGGGTTTTGAGTAATTATGTCAAAGATTAACCCCCCCAAAAAAAAAGGAAAAAAGAAAAAGAAAAGAAGAAGCTGTCTCCCAGCATCCCCAAGTTTTGGAAACTTCCGAATGCAACGAGTCCAGATGAAGTAAAGATGTCTTTTCTCAGAAGCAGTCTTTTGGAGATGGCACTTCCTCTATCAACACAAACTACAGATATTCCTCAGATCAGTAGTCTTCTTCAACTAGTATATCTATCCTACAAGTCGAAGAACACACAACCTCCATATCAACCAGTATCACAAGCCAAGGTGAGAAAGAATCAAGCTGAAAACATGACTTTGTCACAGCAGTTAAATGAAATATGTTATAATGAAGCTTTGACATTGAGGCTATTTGCTATTCTCACTCAACTGAATTTGATTTCTGTTTTCTGGTCAGGAAGCTGCAGCTCATTGTGTTGCTGTTCAAACTGAAGGGTCCTTTTACTTTCCTGGAAGCATGTCCTATGGTGGTATAATATTTGTATAGCCTTAGAGGCTTGCTTTTGTTCCACAGTCGCTATCATTATAGAAGTGGCGCTATACAGAAGCTTCTGCTACATGGCTGCTGGAGTCTCAGTTTACTATATCGTATAACCAGACACTAGTGTGATGTTCTGGTTACTGATAGAGAATCTGTGAACTCCATCCTTAATGGAGTAGTAGTTCCTAGTTACAGTCATTTCGAAAATGGACGATTATTTTTGTATTTTGAAGGTCTTAAACCTATCAATGACCTTCAGTCTGAAACATCCTACCCTTTTACCACCAAAAATTGTATCCTTGTTAATATTGTTTCGATTATCAGTGTATCCTTGTGAATGTTGTTTATTTCCAATATTTCAATGTTGAATGAAGAATATTGTGTATTATTTCCTCTCTTTATTTTCGGTCTTAGAATGTCTACCTGCCATTGCTCGGTGCAAATTTTCTCCTCTTCTGCATATAGTCATCCGATTAGATTTATCATCCTGAATGAATATATTTACACCCTTATACAATTATCAAAATTTATTAAAGAAAAAAATAAAAATAAAATAAATATATATATATACAGGGCAGTCACTCCAATGTTATTGTATTGTAGGATAGTCCAAACAATATGCGCAAAAAAAATAAATAAATAAATAAAAATCGTTCTAACTCAGTTTGAATTGTATCGTTCCCACCTCGAATTGTTGTAAATGAGTTTTGCCTTGCATCAAGGTTTTGGCTCCAAACTAATTGTGCCTTATTTGTTTAGTGAACTAGCTATTAATTTCATGTATTTCATCAAATTGCTTTGTTATAGAAAAGCTTAAAATCTTCCCCATCTCAAATTGCTTTCTTAGAGCATCCACAATGATGCTCTTTATTTCTTAGCTAAAATTTGGCTAAGAATATAAGAAAGCTATTTTATGAGCTCTCTAAAAAATTTTAACTCCAACCATGCTCCATAATTTGGAGAGTCATAAATGCTATAACTATTTTTTGATTGGTTCATCTATATTAAAAAATAAAATAAAAAATAGTTAACATTAAATACAGGTTTGAAATACTCATTAAATAAAGCAACATTAAATTATAGGGAGCCAATAGGAGTCCTTTCTCTCTCTTCAGATTTAGGAGCTCCTAGAGGACTCCCTATTTTAGGAGGTAGATAAGGAGCGTGGTTGGAGTTGCATTTTTACGATTTCTCCCTAAAATTTGTCTAAAGAAGTAGTTTAGAAAGCCCATTATGAATGCTCTTATATCATGATAAATAATTTAAATAATCACTTTATTTGTATGATGATGAAATCACGTGAATACGATAACATGTCGATTGTAACTTAAATATGTTCTTAACACCGCATTGATATGGAATGGAACGTGCAACGGCTGTCACAAACAATAATTTATTTTATATGAATAAGGTTTGACCCATGTTTATCAATCACCAAAACAATGATGAATTGAAGGATAGAAGAGTACTATCGCTGAACTTACAAGAGGGGTAGTAGATGCATGAGATTCCCACCCAAAAAAAAAATATATATATAAAAATTAAAATTAGCCAATGAAAGAAAATGCGTGGGGGCTCCCCTGCCCTGA